AACCCTCTCGATCGACCATCTGAGCCGAGCGCCACGTCCGCGCGCAACACCGTTCCACCACTCATCCGGAACAGATCTTTCAAATCTTGCCATTGTATATGGAATGGTAGCTACAATCGCAAGAAAGAAGCGCATTTTTGAGTCAGTATAAATACAGCACTCGTCGATTCGTTGGCCAGCGTGCAAGAATTGAATCTTAACGACTTACGTTTCCGACGAACAAACTCCGACCGCTCGCGGTTTCTTCATCTCCGCCAAACCCAGGCGTATTTGCAAAGGGGGACGTGGGTCCGCTCCCTCCCGTACTTCCCAAGGAAGTAGCCAATCTCGTCAGCATGCTCTGCGGTTGGACCGGCTGAGGCTGCGTCAAAGTCAATGATCCAAGCCCTCCGGGCGTAGCCCCGGTCGAAGTGGGCGTCCCGGACCCAATACCACCCAACCCCCCGAGTCCACTGAATGGGGAAAGAACGGTTGGCGGAAACGTGCTAGTCGAACCAGCGGAATGTGGCGGTGGTTCGTTATTGTTGGAGCTGCTATCCAAAGAGGACGAAGGTCCGGCGGTCTGCGCGCCCATTCGATCTGGCCGAACTTCCAACACCCTCGTCATCCATTCGAAACCATTGAACATATCCACAGCTCGACCTGCATCTTCAGCTGTAGCAAGTAACACCGTTCCATACCCTCGTGAACGGTTGTCGGGCCCTAGGGAGACATCTGCTCGCAGGACTGTGCCTGCTCGTCGGAAGAGGTCTTTGAGGTCTTGCCATCGAACGCGATATGGGAGCTAAGAAACCGAAACAAGTCAGCACCACTGACTATATGCGCCAAAAAACAGTAGGAAAACGTACATTCCCAACAAACAGCTGCGTCCTGGTGTCCCTCGGCGGATTACCGCCAGCAGCGCTCGGTCCTCTGCTGCTCGTCGCCATCTGTATCACAGCCTCCACCTCATCATTCGTAGGAGTTTGCATTGATGGTCCCACACCGGTCAAGGAAGCAGGTCCTCTCGTTCCAAGCGTACTCGGGATACCATGCGCAAGGTGTGGGGACGTAAGCGCATGGCTGAAATTTGGACTCGTTGCTCCGGCACCGCCAAGCGATATCCCTGCCGTGCCAGGTCTTGAAAGCGTGTTTGTTCCGCCTGCTGTGCCGGGTCTTGAGGTTGTAAGCGACGGGAGCGTCTGAGGTATCGATGGATTTGAAGGGTTGGTCAGCACAAATATGCTAGGTGCATTGGCTGCTCCTGACGTGACTGGGAGATGAGGTGTGGTTGTAAATGACGTCCGACGTGATGCAGGCGTAGGATCCTATAGGTAAAAGCAATAGTTAGCACTGTATCAGAGCATCCACATCGGCAGAGAAGCGGGCGAAAAAATGGATTGTAAATTAGAAACAACTCGGTTGAACCAAAGTACTATTGATGACTGGGTCACGAAGCACGTTGTAGATTAAGGAAGGGATGCCGAGCACAAGGGATGTGACAAGAGAGTTGGCGGGTAACAAAGCAGACAGCGTCACATATTGCCAGCAAACGCATCACGGCGGTTGCACGTCTATACGATGGCGCAATACGCAACCATTGGTCCTGGACGTGTCCTACGAGCAGTCAAACAGAGCGCATATATGCGGTCCAGTAGGAGCAAGAGGACACTGAAGCATCCAAGATGGGTCATGACGAGGACACGTGCAACCATTGGAACCAGAATAGATCACCCTGGGGTGTTCACGAGCGAAATGGCAAGCGAGAGGAATCTGCACAGACGGCAAGGTACCCAGCTGGCTCGTGCAGCTACCCACAAGGATGAGTGTCCAAGACATTGTAACGGTGGGCGACAGGTTGGCAGACTCGATGTAAAGGTTTGAACTAGGAACGGGGTCGTTAAGTTCATTCAAGAGCGATCTGGGTTGACCCTGAACTGCGTCCACGTGGAGGGATGGACGTGTATAAACACGCGTCGCAGCGTGTGCATGGGAGTGGGATGAGATAATAGTGCGGTTGGAAAGCGCGATACATGGGTTGAGGGAGGGAATAATCCCAGATGTATGTGGACCGAGGTCACGGAGCGTGAATAAAAGGGTGTCAAGGGGCGCACGGAGCCCATCCGATGCAAATGCAGGAGACATCTCAACTCCAGGAACGCAAGTTTCGACCACACTGCTTCCCATGCCCCCGCAACTGGGCCCTAACCCAAAGAAATCGGCCAAATGTCGGGTGCGTTCTATCTCTGGCTGGTGGCGGCACAACAATGACAGCCCCGAGCATCAGTTTCTGAGGAAGAGGTGCTAGATCCCTTTGCACGAAGACTCTGCTAGAGCGGAGCGACTGAGATGGGCAACAGTGAAAGCGATGCCTTCAAGCAAGCAATGACGCAGGACGTGTGACCATATGAGGAGCGTGAACAACTCTTGAGCTGGACATCATTGCGTGCACGCGATGAACACCGTCGTACATGCTGTCCCTCCGTGCCCACACCAAATTGCTGCCATCCGGAATGAAGCTCGCATAAAGCAAAGGTGGACGAGAAACGTGACCCAATCCCGAGAAAACAGTGCTCGGAAGGACCGGCAATTTGAAAGGACACTCACGGATGGTTGTAACGGCATAACCGGTGCCTACAGTGCTTATAGCAACTGGAGACGATGAGTATGGAGGATACAAGAGATGGGTTGTCCTGTCTTCGAGGTGTATCGATGTCTGATATGGAGACTTTCGGCAGCAATTGTTCTTGTAGAGAGCGAGAGTCCGAAAAGCCCAGAAGAGAAAAAGCGGCGGCAATGGCCAGAGTGGCAGCGAAAGGACCGTGTAGGACGTTGGCGACGACGAGCAAGATGTGCGGAGGAACGACGAAGAGACTGAGCAGACCGCGTGAACCGATGAGCAGAAAGAAAGAAAACCCAGCTCGACACGACTGAACCGTTCCGCCAGCTTTCGGGTCGCCGACTCCACCTCCATTACCCGATTAGGAAGCGTCCGATCACTTTTTTGGGCCCCATTCGTAGTTTCTGACGTCATGAAGCAACCTTCATTTCGGCCGGTTGCGGCCTTTCGCGTGCGTGCTTTGGGCAACGATCCTGGCTCTTTGCTCGCTGCATGAAGCTCTCTCGACGTTGTGGTCCGCCACTGTGCTCGCTGTGGTCGACGTTCTGCAGCGTCCAATGTTCACCGGACTTGGCGGCGACCAACTGTCGTTACGTCGCATGCTTGGCTTCTCTCATCCTTGGTCCCCAAAGAGCATGGAAGGTTCGCCGATGGAGCAAGATGTCGGCAGGGGCAGTGTATTCCCACTGCTCTATGCACGTCTTCACGTATGAAGCTCTCCAAACATCTCGTTTTGTCATCCTTTACTAGCAGAAGCCTCACCGTCATAACGACATACATCTATCTCGCGATTCACGAGCCTCTCATCGCCCGAAGCGGCCGAAATGCGTCACAATTGAATTCGAAGCATGCGAAGATTCTGTGCATGTGAGTCTCTTGCCGCTTAATTATGATGTTACTGGTACTACAGTATGTATGTGGCTGTCGTCTCTGACCCCAGTGCGCGATCATCGATATTCTTTCATCGGTAAGTAACAATTACTGCAATCAACATCGTCTTTAGACGTCGCGTCCCTCCACATGATCAGCATAAGGTGATCGCGAAGCCAGGAAACGCTCTGCTTCAGATGGCCTGACTGTGTCTCCTTTCGCAGTCGTCTTGGCGATCTCATTATCTGAGTCGTTCATGGAAGTCTGCACCCGCCTAATGTTCTTCTCTTGTAGGTGTTTATGTACGGGCCCTTGACCGATGTCCGACGCAGTATGACTGACTGAGGCATGGCATCCTCGAGGTCGAAGGCCCAAACGACTCCACGCGACTATTGGCACTTGCTGTGTCCCACTCTCGGTTCGCAGCATGATTTTTAAACAGACTACTTGGAAGAAAACCTTTCTGACCGTGTCGCTTGATCTCGTCACAGAGGTCAACTAGTCGCAGACGCGGAAAAGCCAAACTCTGCTGAAGAGATCTGGAAGGCCAGCCAGTACAACCCAGTACGAGTATTTTGCGCTCTCCCTAGATCTTATCAGACGGGTCACAGCAGCCATATACTATTGAGGAATTCCTGAAAAGGCTGGCTGGTCGTTCCGAAGTGTTTGTTGCGGAGGTCATACGACCGTTCTATAGGCTACAGCCACCCGTTGACCACGATATGCCGTGCATCAGAGATGCTTTCGTGCTGGACTGCCGTCGGAGCCACAACTCAATGGGGCGTTACATATTCCTCAATCGTTGGCACACAGCGAATACACGCAATGTTGCTATCAAAGAAAACGTGACTCGGGCTTTCCTCGAGGCACTCCATTGCTATGTCCGTTCCCATCATTACCTGTCGAAATTTACCTGCAGGCCGGAGTCTACCACTTTGCTCCGCAGGGTATGGCTTCCGCGGCGCTCTTAAACATACAGTGAGAGTTTCATCCTTGTTCCGTGCCATAGCAGAGGACGCCGCGCTCATATACGCTCACTTACTATGGGGCACCTCCGGATAACGATGTTGTTCACTGAACTCGTCATCGAGGTCGATGCTGGCATTCCATGTGCAAGGCGAGAGTGGATGTCAAAGATAGAGGAAGTTGGAAGGTGAGATTTGTGAACCCACAGCTTATTTAGCTGACCAACACGGGCGTTCTGTCACCGTTTATAGGTCACAATGGCAGCCATTCTTCCAAGGAGTTCTATCATTGTTCCGGTTCGCAATGGGACCACGTGATCGTGTCAGCACGATATCACTGAGAAGCTTTAAGGCTTTCGCGTCCGCGAGTCACTCCTGAACTGATCCTTCATAAAGCATGCTACGTCCGATTGGATTGTCAGTCAAAACGTTGTTGGCCATCAAGAGATATCCACAAAATGCATGATCTTGGATTTCAAGAATCAAGCTGGACGGTGTCTGGCGAGACTATTAGGATCAACGACGGTATATATGGATGTATTCATTGCTATTTTGGGGAAAATAAAGGCCCTATGGTCTAGAGGTAAGATACTTGCTTTGGGAAATATCAATTTAACCTCCTGCAAGGGATCCTGGGTTCGAATCCCAGTGGGGCCCTTTTTGGCCCAACCTGGCCTTGAACCTCGAGCTTTGAAATCAGTATAGATTTTCAGGATTCAAAACAGTCTCCTCCACACCACATAGTCTCCTTCACAGACCTTATACTCACAAGTTCGTATAAGGTCTGCCCCAAAACTGAGGGGTGTTGGCTGGTGGTCGGGGTTCGGTCATATCGGTGATGGCAATGCGTCTCTTGAGCCTCTGCCGATGGCTGGCGATCACAAATTCGTCAGCAACACTTACTAAACAACTTCAAGGATACTCAATGTTATTCACGATACCTGTGTGTGTAGGGTGCATTCTCTCCTCAAAATGTTGGGGGAACAGATGTTTTGTATCTTCCTATCCTACCCATGAATCCCACCCAGTTACAACCGCGACATTTGGATGTTTGCTACCTTCTACCTGTTCTCAACTCCTCTCTCTGACATAGCTCGTTGAGGTACGCGTAGTAACAAGTTCTACATGTCAATTGTCGCACAATATACCTCCTCAAAACACATCGAGCCATCCAGAAGACATCTCACTGTTGTACTTGTCGAATTACAGAGTCTTCTGTTAACTCAGTGTACCGTGCATGTGACTTGGGAAGGGCTGCCGCAGTCGGCGATCAACCCAAAACAGCGGAACCCTGACCACCCCTCACTTTTGCAGTAGACTACACACCACAGACATTTACAGAGAAGACAGTTATTAGGTTCAAATCCTAGTAGGGTCCGTCTTTTTCTTCCTCTCGCCCTCTTGCGGAGTCTCACTGTCAGGGTACCGGGCACAAACCAGGCAATTTTGATGATTCATTTACTGAGCCTACCCCCCTTAACATGCCTAGGGATACAATTTGCTATGGTACAAGTCATACTGCTAGTAACGATTGTGTTTCTACATCCTGTCTATGACTGTCTGGAGGGTTGTTTGCTCCGTGGCTGCTGCGAATGGTCGGAGGATCAGACAAGTCAGGTACTTCAAAGTCTTCCTCATCCTGTGAATCAACTCGGATGTACCGGCTGCTTTCCCTTTATCTCAGTAAGTAAGTCTCACACGAAGACCGTCCTCCTCAGCACTCACCCTTGAGCAGTATGAATCTCAGTTTCGACGACCCGGGACCCAGAAGCAACAGGTGTAACCAACGCCGCCGCAAGAGGGTTATCCAGAACTTGTACCTCTTCTCTCTCGTTGTCATTTTGAATTTCGTCGAATCCTTCCGCGAGCATGTTATGCAGTGGTGCGCCGAGGTTGCCGATGATACTTGATGATGCCGACGACGAATGGGCGAATTGGAGAACGGACGATGAAGAGTTTTGTCGGTGAGGATGGCCCGGTGGGGCGGACATGGTGATTGTTTTGAGAGATGGTGTGGCGGAAAGATGGACTTGGCGAAGATGGAAGAAGAAATGCGAGAACAGGATGGGTTGCATGCTTCACGGCGAGATGAGCATGACAGAAAAAGCTAGCATGGGGAAACAACCTTACACCGTGCTAATAGAAGTTACGAAAACCACAGGCTGATGGTTGTTAGCCAGGATCACTAACAAGTGCATGGGGTGCACTCACATTATCGGGATCCAATGTCATGATAATATCAAGCACAGAGATGGCTAGGATGATCCTGAAGAAGAACATGTAAGCGACTCGAGTTCTGGGCCTCAACACTGGCACCTTACCCAAATTGCAAAGTTCCTACGATTATTCACGCGCTCAATGAAATTGTATTCTCGTACAATGTATAGCACTTACCGTCCCGTAGTAGTAAACTCGTGAACGAGACCTCAAGCCCGATGCGGGCGGCCTCACGTTTCAGGCTCAGGGTCTTGTACATGGTGAAAGCGATAGCAAGGACTTCGGCTAGGATTGTTCCAGAATCCACGATGGTGTCGACTGAGTAATGGTCAGAAGCCGGATCAAAGTTTCGGGTCACTGCAGCTTACGTCTAGTGGAGTGTGTCAGTGAAATGTCGAAAGCCGTATTGTGCACTGCTGCTCACTTTAGGACATATGCTTCGGAGTCAGGCATAGCATACGAGAATACCTGAGAACATCCAAGATACGGCAACACTGGTAGGTCCACCGCCCCGTATTCATACTTGGTGGTAGTAAGGACCTGCAAACAATGATTAGACCTATTTCAAAGCGCATAGCAAACGCACTCACTGTGCCCATAATTATCCAGGCCAAGTTCACCACGGCCAACAAGCCCGCTGCAAGTAAGCTCCGTTCAAGAATAGCGTAGATTCGAAGTACGGTAAAAACTAGTCGAATAATCAGTCGGATTGGCACAGCAGGAAGAATTGTCGGCAATCGTAATACCTTCGAACAGAAGAATCAAGACTTCACCCAAGGAAAACGAAGTGATTTGCAGTCCTCGACAACTACCCAATGAGTGAGATCAATGAACGCAACCGTCCATGGCTAAACACGGAACATACATCTAAAGAAATGGACAAGGAGATCAGTTTCAGGTAAGTGAATGTAAAGAGGACGCAGCAGACCTTGAATGTTTTTTCATCAGGCGTCCATGGAGTAAGTTGCTCTGCGGCAATAATGAACGCGGTGACGAGTAGGAGGTAGCGGTTTAACAAGCAGAGCAGGGACGGAAAGTTCATCTTTCGCTTCCAGATGCAGTTGATTTCCTCGTTGAACGTGAGGACATAGTCGTAAAAAATCAGACCTTTCAAACGGACGTAAATGCAAGATACCCGAAAAGTGTTCTTTGTCTCAGTCACTTACAGACTAAAGCTACAGAAGTATACGCGGTTCGTCGACTGCAGAGATGGCAAATGAAGAGACAGAGATTAGCATCGGTCACTAGAGTGCACCCGAGGAACCAGACACAGGTCCAGAAACACTTACAGGCCATTGTAGGCACCCAAGAGATATTCCAATTCTTCTCCTGACTCGGAGTCCGGTACAAGGAGTGGATCCATCCCTCGCAAGGAATGCAGGTTAGATGTTGGGACAGTACCTCCAAGCAGCGAGGCAACGTCGGGAAGAGAAAGGAGATTGCCACCAACCCGCTTCGTCCACTTTGACACCGTTATGTCTCACTCCAATTCAGGGTCGGAGCTGATGCTGTCTACTTGCCGCCGGTAGTAGCCCGGATTTTGCAGCGCATTCAACGAGGCCAATTTGACGACTGACGGTGCGCGCACGGGGCTGTGCGTTATGCGTGAAGGTCGGGCCGGGGCGTCGTGCATTGACTGTAAGGCATAAGAGTAGATTTGTGAGTCGTAGAAAGGCTGTGAAGTGACTAAGGAATTACGCGGCTTTGAGTAGAGAAGTCTGACGAACCGCAATGTAGTGTTCCCACCATAGCGAGCAGAAGGTAGTGCAAGGTGGTGCATTATTACAGGAAGTTACAGGCGCGTCGGGAGCAATAAGTACCACAGGCGCGATCAGGATTGACTGATTCAGGAACGAGCCCAAGTTTGGCCACGTAGATCGTATCTGCTATATCCAACTCGGAGAGATTCGCACGATTCGGATTCCACCGTTTGCGGTCTTTTGCACGATGGACAGCAAAGAATCCCGGGACATGGGACTCACCTGTACGGTTCTACAGGAGACTACATGATTTCGCATTCAGTGGCAAGCCAAGCAGAATCAATCCGCCGCGACAGGAACCCGCTCAGGCTCGGGAGATTCATTGCGGGCGTCATGCGCGCGCTCGTCTACCAATGTTACTAGTACCTGTGAGTATTCCAGAAAGGTATATCTTGCAGGCAGGCTACATAACGTTCACAGACGTTCACCCCAAGTTCACAGTGATCGTTGTGGAAAATAATAGTGAAAGTATCGGAGTGTGTGTTTGCCGGCTTTTTGAACATGAAGTGCCTTGATCATCCCAAATAAGGTACTTTTGATGGGGCTATTGCCAAGCAAGTACAAATCAGACTGTTTCGTGTCTTTTTCCGGAATTCTCATCGTCCTTTCTTGAACTCGTTCTCGAGATCTCGTCGTCTTCTTATCGTCATCCTGCCGCTTGCCCTTCCTAATTTTCTCCTGTTAAAAGTGTGCAGCCCAACCGAGCTCGAGGTCTGTTTCGACGGAGACAATGAAGGGCACATTAACCCCACTCGGGGTCCGAGCTTCTAATAAGTACTACAGTGCGGGGCGCCAAGAGTAGGCGCCTCACTGGAGGCTTCATTTTTGACCCTGGGGCCGGCAGATCAAAATTTAGGAAGGAAAGTGGGCAAACTGTGCAAAATCCTGCATTTTCGTATTTTGGAAAAGTCACGTGACCGTTCAGATTTCGGAATTCAAAAATCTTTTTCAAATAGACCTTTCCATGGCACCAATTTTGCTCCAAACAACCTCTTAGTACTAATTTCTTTAATTAAGGCATACTATGCTCAAGTCTGATCACTGACTTTGCCACAGTTGTTGTCGGACACTGGCTTACTGGCAGTTACTGCCGCTTGCAATGACGGTCGAGCGTCTACGCAGCATCCATTTCTGGAGACAACATCACGTGTATATAAATAAGCGCCTTATCTAATGTATTATGTAATCCCCATATATAGTAAAATTCAGATTTGGGATGACTCAAAATTTTATATCAAAGAATTTCGGGAAAGCAATGAGTTAGCCATAGTCTTTGATGCAAAAGGAGACGATTGGCGTAGTTTCCGTGACAATTGGAGGTGGTCAGAGGTCACTATAAATTGTTGCCATCAGAGGCCTCCGAGGCGTCGGTTTTGAGCGCCCCGCACTGTACCTATCGCTGGTCGTTCGGAACGCTTATCCTTATTCTCTCTGCCAAATTGTAATCGCAATCTGCGCCCCCCCACCTACTGTGCTCAACAAGAAGCAATTCCACTACAAGTGAAATTTGCCGTAAATAGTTTCGGGACCGAGAGGGGTGACTATCACGCATGAGTTACAATCTCACCCTCAGGTGAAAGCTAGTATTATATGGAGCCGTGAATAGATCATACAAAAGAAAGTATAGTAATACAACAAACGAAGCGTCCCAAAACACCAATAAAGATAGACATGGGTATG